TATGAGTTTTTAACTTTTTTTATTACTAGGTTAAAATGAATTATAATTTTAGGAGACAGCGGAACTGCGAGAACGTCTGGCTGAAAGCGAGAGGCTTGTTGCACAAATGAACAAGTCATGGGAAGAACGATTGAGGGAAACTGACACTCTCAATAAAGTGAGTCACAGCAGAATTCGTTCTACCTTGGTATCGGCTTTAGAAAATCCTGCTAGTGCAGTTGTGTTATGACGGCTCCAGTAGAGTAAATTACTGAGATTGAGGGGATGGGTACAGTGTACTGCCCTTGGTTGTTATCTCCGTGATGGATGATGTTTTCACAAATATATCATTGAACAAACTGAGGACCAAGTGCGAATGGAGTGATAAAGAAATGATTTTTTGGAAGATTTTCCTTTGGCCGAAATTGCACAGAACGCATATGATTCCGAAACACTCAAACATAGGAGTTATGTCATGGCCATTATGCGGTTGATTGATGCCTCTTCTCTTTTACACCTTTCATAGCTTGACAAAGTAGTGTTTGGATTCGAGTTATTGATTTCTAGTAGGGTGTGGGTCAGGAGATCCCGTTCACGGCGGCGTGCTCGCAAATGGCGTCTCGCGCCTGGTACTTCAAATTCGAGACCCCGCCGCAATAGGGATGAGCTGTCCCACACTCACTAATCTCCTGTTTTCATTGACGATTTCATGGTTCTCAACTTTAGGAACGTCAACGTGATCTCGCAGAAATTGGAATCTCCATAGAATCAAGTGGAATAAAGGTGGAAAAGGATCGCTTTTACCTCGTGAATCTTAACGCAGATCCTTCGCTTAATGAACTGCTAGTTTATTACATCAACGTGGGTCGAGAATTCATATCCATTTATCTTCTTACAGAGCGAACCTCTTTGTCCTAGTCATCCGCTCATCCTATACTTTGTACTACGGTATTAGTACTGTACTATTATACTTTCAGTCATCAGCTATCATAGGCAACTTGGACGATATCGAAACCAGTCTCGACTCTGGACTCGGAAACTCGGTGGAGGATCTTGATAAGAAAGATGGTCAGCATTTTTAAGATGAACTGTTTATCTTCGCAGCTGGAAACCAAGCGCGTGGGTGGAAGCGGCATCGAGTTTAAAGGAATCCTACGGGAGAGCTTCATTTTTCATTTTCTCATATGAAGACGCTATTTGCGAACACTAGAGGCTGTGTACAAAAGTTCTATGGATGAAGATTGAGGTTTCGCAATGAAAAAAAAACCTTCGAAAACCGCACTTTGTGAGCAGGATGGTACAATGGGCGGAGCCAAGAAAGTAGTACCTCTTGGGGCGGCCGTGTATTAGGTAACGCATGGAAAGAATCGAATTAAAGCGTTCGAATTGTGAGATTAGAGACAAATCGATCAACAGACTAGGGTGCGATAGAAAAAAGTGCTGTTGCCATATGTGAATGATCGCAAAGAATACCTAATAACCGGCTCGCCAAAGGACCAAGCGTTAGCG